ATCCTTCTTCTTGAGCTTTGGTGGTGATTGTTGGTTGACTTGAAAGCATTTGTTGGGAGAATTGGATGATCTTGCAGTGGTGGACCATCGCTAGCACTATGCACTTATCTTATTTAACCTACAATTCGATGCATGTGAGGAACCCGCTCTGACGGTTGTCTGAGGATAGCGTTGCTTTTTCTTTCTTTGTTTCTTTAAAATCTCTTAGTGTTTTCTTGTTGGATTTTGAATGTTTTAGTTGTTTGCTACTATTTTAATAGAATCTGGTTTAATTTCTATCCACTGTTCTCTTTGTGTCGCTTTTCTTGCTTGTGTGTCTACATCATCTTCTGATGTCCTCATCATATTTAACTAAGCAAAACTCATGAATACACTCTCCCATAGTTACCGAAAGAAATCATATTAATGGTATTTCATATTCAAACATATTTTTTTATAATTATTTTATGTTATATGCAATGTTTAAAATGGCATGCACCGCACCGTGTACTGTGTCATAGTTCTAAGAAAAATTTTACGCCATGGTGTGTTATTCATCATTGACAAGTATGATCCTACTTCTATAAATAGAGAATTAGAGGGCTGTTTTTTAGATAAATAATTTTTTATTTGGAAAAAAAATTACACGTCAAATTTCCGTCATCTGATTCATGAAGTCATCCCTTTATCACCCCTTTGATTTTCATCTAACAACCATCCCCTAGAGCCTAAGCGTTCAACCAAAAATAGCAAGATCGCAGTTTAATTGCCACCGGTTTCCAAAAAATGCTCATTTAATGTATCGTGCTTGTAACGTGGTAAATCTTTGTGATTAAAGAATTTTTTTCTTCCCCTGGCAAACATAATTTGAAACCTTTAATCAACTAGTGCTAGGTACTATTACCATCACAATCATAATGCTACTCATAGTCTTGGACACCAATATCCTTAAGAATAGGATGATCATGAGTGAACAACACATTAGGAGGATCAAGATCAATGACCTTGCAAGTAGATGAGGTCCCAACCACATCCATATGGCTAAGGACAATGAAGGAAGGCTCTGATTCCATGAAAGGATCTAAAGTTTGTTCTAAGCTATGAGTGTAAGCCGAAACATAAATAAGAAAAACTACATCTACTACGCTTGAAGGAAAAGGCTGATCATTCGAATGCTCCTATTCTTCATGAGTAAGGACCAATAAAAGATAATTTTCTCAGCACAGGTGAGCCTTAAAACAGTTTGAATTGTTTTAACGAAGAACAACCCAAAGGTATGTCTTTAACTTTAATCTTCTACCAATGCACACATGAGAATGAATCAATCCAAACCATCTTTTGAAGAGGAATAGTAACATACATCTCAATGAGGCCCTTAGCCGCTACGGGAAATCGGAACATCCACCTACATAAGTGATGCAGGTGAGCCATACCCCCATACAGGCACATGATGCTTCAGTTCCCCTCCAATCAGCTGTATGAATTTCTTAGTTTTCCCTCCCATGGTTGATGAAAATATGCTTTGTTTTTCCCCCCTTGGTGCTTCGGTTTTCCCTCCTGCTTAGCAATTGTGCTGTTGCTTCTTTTTTTTTCCCTTGATGCTTTGGTTTTCCCCTATTTTTGGGGCTGTTTTGATGCTCCGGTTTCCCCACGGCGGGTGCCCCTTCGGATTCAATTTTACCTCAAATTTTGAGGAGTTTTTATGATTGTTTTGGGAGGTGCATCAACTCCCTATATTTATTGTTCTTTCCCTTTATTTTCTCCCCAATAAAAAGGGTTGTTTGAGAGAGATGGAGAGTTTATGATTGATGATTTGTGGAATGTAAAACCTGTGAGTTTTCTAGCTTGCGAGCTAGCCTCCTTTCCCCTTCCCCTCAATTATTTCTTCTCAGTCTTCTAACCCCTTCTTCTCTATCCACGGTTCCCGCCTCATTATTTCGTGAGTGAGGCGGTGGGTAAGTCGGTGGGCGAATCATCGTGTCCGATCGGGTATGTCGGTAGATTTTGGTCGGTGATTTTGCCGTTACAGTCAACACGAGCTAGCCTCCTTTCCCCTTCCCCTCAATTATTTCTTCTCAGTCTTCTAACCCCTTCTTCTCTATCCACGGTTCCCGCCTCATCTGTATCTTTCTTCTCTTTAAAAATGACAAGTTGAAAGGTAGTTGCATCGTGTCTTGTCCTATTATAATTTGAGGTGGCTTCTAAGAGTTGTTAGAAGCTTTGTTGTGTCCTATTTAGTGTGTTTTGTCATTTTAAATGAAGACAAATCTTATTATTTTGCAATCTTAATGTTTTTTTTTTTTTTTCATCAAAAAGTTTACAAAAAATAGAACCTAAATAATATAAAGTGGATTGATTGAAGTAGTGAACTAAATCGGAGTGGCAGATGGTTCCTCAGATATATCAAAGTGAAGAAACCACTTTAACATAAGAATTGGATAGCCATTCATTCAGTAAGATCATAGTGAGAAAAGTCTAGGGTAATTTACTTCTAGAAACAATTTGATAAGAATATGAAATGGATTAAGATGAACGACAAAAGGATCACCAATCTAATCAAATGACATAAACCTATGTATAATCTCAAGTCTAAAACAACAAAAGAAAAACTTACTCGCAATAGAGAAAAAGCAAATATGTTATTTGAAATTCCCGGTTTCCGAGAAAATAAGAGCAGATTTATCATGAAGAGTGAAAGGTGCCTATGTTGAGGAGGTCTAATCCTTCCTAAACAAAAAATGGGAAATAATTGGATGATTGGCACTCTGAAGCCATCTTCTCCAAACTTCTGCAAATAAGGTTAGGTTTTTATGAAGTATAGAAATTAATCCATATTATCATCAGATGGGACTAAGGCCAATATAGACATAAGCTGGGCATAATGCCAGTTATAGATATCAGATGAGCACAAAGCCCATTTCAAATATTAAATCTATGTAAATCTAGAGAAATTCACGATATTATATGGTTATATATACTATGGTTGGTGCAAACATTTAATTTAGAAACTAAGGATTATACCGCTTTGGAAAAATTTTGTCATTCTCAACGGATTGTGATATATTCTTATCGAGCATGACATAGAAAATAATATATTATCCCGAAGGATAAAAATATTATTTCATTATGGACTCAATAATAAAACTCACAATTTTATATTTTTAACAGAGATTTTCTCCTATTTAATATTTGGTTGAATATGGTTTATTTTATTCAGGGATACATACACCATAAGGGCAAGTCCCTATGGTTAATTACATCTCAATTATTCGTTACTTGAGAATACTTTTGATTAGACTAGTGATTTCTTTGTAATTATTAAAACATTGGCTAATATTTTCATCTTTTGAATTTAAGAAGCTCAGGGGTGATTTGGTCTTTGGGAATTTTAGAAATGCCTGTTTTTTCTCGGTTTGTGCACTTGCTTTTGCTTGGGTTAATTACATCTCAATTTTAGAAGATTGCTCTCTCACTTAACTTTATTTGGATATAACGCACGCAAGAAGCATGAATCAACCAAATACCTTATGCTCCTCTTTCGATTTTGGATGCACGAAGGAAGAAGACGCCGTCCTCTCACTCAACTTCCTCTATACACGAAATAACCCTTGCTATGCTTGATATGATCTCCTACTACCCAATCCCTGCTATAGCCATAGAAATCGGTGGATTTGACGTGAAGACAGCACGCAAGGAGCGAATTCCAAGTTAATCTCAAACCTAGATTTAGATTTCCTGATTAGGGAAGTCAATTGAGTCCATATTTGATCAATTGGGCTAAAATTGAGCACGAATCGAGTTCGATTCATACCGATTTGGGTCGATCCGAGTCCATTTGATTTTAAATGGATTTAATTAAGTTTAATTGGAACCCAATTTGAGTCCGATTGAAATCGATTTGGGTTTGACGAGGCTCAATTGAATTGATCAAGCTAAATCGGGTCTGTTTGGGCCCAATTCGACTCGATCCGGGTTGGGTCGACATGAAAATTGTGTCAACATGCTCGAGTAATTTGCCATTAAGTGCAAATTATGCTAGGTTGAATAATCCTTTTGGACAACATCAAACTAAATTTGATCATTTTGTTATGATTGGATTTGATTTTGAATAGGATTATATTTACTTTTTAATTTTAGCATGTTCAAGATCAAACATATAGCGCATTGGATCGAAAAAAGTTATGAAAATCCTGAAGGTTCGAGTTAAAGTATACAGCCTACCACCATATATATATATATATATAGTAATCTTTGTAACCCTATTTCTAAAAATGGGGATTTATAGCTTATATTTAGAATAATTGAATGTTAGTGAACAAAGTTAATTATGAGTCCAATTGAGAGTTCTCTTGATCCAAGTAATATAGTCTTGTGGTATGTTGTCATAAGCGCATCATTTTATGTTGTAATCAGTATTCTAAGGTGATGTGTTTGTTCTACATAATTCTAAGATTGATTTTAATGCACTGTCCATTTTAACATTGTCATGCTCAATGTTGTATTAGTGATGCCAAGATACTTAGGCCTTTATCCACCTTAGTTACATGTACATATAGATTTCTTTTGAATGGTTACGCCGTGTTTGGATGCTTGAAATTTGAGTTAAAGGAAATGAATGAAAAGTGCTGAAACGCTCAAATCATTAACTGCAAATTAACAATCAACCAACAAATTGCTGAGATTTCATTTCCTTTCTTTCACCTTCCTTAAATCCAAGCAAGGCCCTAATGAACGTTTTAAGGAAAAATCCCCTTGTAATTATTGTACTGCCTTCCTTTGTGCTCGGGTGGTGACACATCCTCCGTAGTTGCCAAGTGCTTCCTAGATCCAAATTGAGTATGTGGGTCACCTCCATGCTATATGCCAGGAGTTTATCATCGTTTTTCATGTCAGAAATGCCAACTTGCAAAATCTAATTGAAGAAATATATAAAAACACTAGGAAGTAGAAACAGCTGAATATAACTATGAGACTTTTAATCCTACGCGGTAAGCAAAATACTATACAAATGAAGTCAGGACCTTGTCAGCCAACCGTTGTATAGGAGCTTCCTTTGCCTGTGCCTCTTCCACCAAGCGAACTATATCTCCCATCACAGTCTCACCACCTGGCCTTTTAACTTCTATGGTAAGTCTACCATTTAAGTTGATACTTCCAGCTGTCACTTCATTCTGGTAAAAGGAAATAAACTAAAGTCAAGCAAAAAGGTAATACTTCCAAGATGAGAATTTGTACTGACTATAACAGTTCCATTAAGTTCACGGGAGGGAGCCAAACATTAAATAGAAACAATACATGGTAAATATACAGGAAAACAGAAAGGAGTACCCCAGGTAACTTAGTTACGGGCATGGGCTCCCCAGTGAAGCTTGACTCATCAACAGTGCTTCTACCAGTTTTAACAATTCCATCTGCAGGTATGCGGTCCTGTACAATACGAATGGGAAGATGATTAAGAGGTGTGTTATACCAAGTATATCCCGAGCATCAAACAACAAAAGTTAATTCTAATTATCCATATATATATAAGGAAAGGAAACAATTCAATAACGAAATAATTATCGTTATACATTAATTCTTGTATGATTTCATTTAAAATCATCCCAAAAGGAAGTAAGGAACTCTCTCAGCATTCTCAAAATGTATTCAAATACAGTATTCACCATAAAATACAAAATCAATGTGCAGCAAGAACAAGAAAAACAAGCAGACTAATTATATTTATAAGAATAAAATGAAAAGTACATTTAACTCACTCCAGGAAACACAACAATTTGATCTCCAACAGCAAGGCTGCTGCATGGAACTTCGGTAGTATAAGATGATTCTCCCAAACCGCTGTCAACAATAAGGCGTGCCATTGTAGGAAGAATATTTAAAAGTCCAGTCATGTCACTAGTAGCTTTAATTTTTGCTCTCTGTTCAAGGTTTTTGCCTAACAATACAAAAGCTATCAACATTATTGGTTCCTCAAAAAATGTCCTCCATCCCTGCATGAGTAAGGCCATGTTAAAAAAACTCCACTTATAACATAAGAGTAGAACTGAATTAAAAAAAAAAATCAACCGATTGAAATAGACAACAGAAAAAATTAGGCCAAGCCTAGGTTACAAGTACATTGATACTTAATAAGTTAATATTGACCAAAACAAATATTAAATGAAGAAATTAAATCAAAATTAAATGACTTAAAATGATAACAATAGAAACATAAATAAGATTGAGATTAATGTCATGCAGTAAATTTTCTACTTCAATTATCATGCTTCAGTTGGCAATTAATTTGGTATGTTGTTATGCAGGTGGAAATGATTGGTTCCTGGCATCACTTTCCAGCAAAGAACCTGAATGAAGAATTAAGAAGAAATAATTATCAAGTTCAGGTTGCTTACATTAGCTGGACATAGTTTGGCTAAAAAAATGGAAAATAAATAACCTTCTTATGGTGACTCCATCTAAATTTGTTGCCACCGCTGCTGGAACCATGGACAGAAAATTGCTTCCAACCAGCCTTTCAATTACTTTTTTAAAGGTTGGGGTGTTGGGTGGGGGTGGTGGAAAGCAGGTATTATCACTAAGCACTGAATCTGAAGTAGTTATTGTAAATACCTAAATTTTTTATAGAATTTGCATCAAAGCTAGTGAGGATAATTGTACTTAAGAAATAGCTCCAAATATATAGCATGGAAGATGGTAATTAATACCTAATACAGGAGAAATTTTTCTATAAAGAATCCACTCACTGACTTGGTGTTTCCTAGAGTACTAAAGGATGATCAGTAATAAACTCAGACAGGCATCAGCATTGCCCATTAGTTAGATTTGGCAACATGAAGCCTTCTTTAACAGCATAAGAAGCCTTATTGAGGCCACATTAAGACTGGCCCAGACACTGATAAAAGACGCAGCAACTTAAAGTTAGTTAAAGGGTGAGATTATAACAGAGAAAAATGATATGACAAGGCCAATTAACTAGAATCGCTGAAGTATAAAGAAAAACGTAAAAGAGCGAATGCATGAAGTATGGGAAAACAACAAAAGAGATTAAGAGCTCAATTGGATTTTCTTAAAGCCTGATCAAAAGCTGGAGAATCAAAATAAATTTTATTGTGATTACGTCCTCGTATAATAAGAAGTACTTGAGACCACCAATCCACCAAAATATCATCACTGATACTACTCCAGTCAAAATCTTCCAATAAGGAAACATCATGATCATCTATATCTTCACTAATTAAAGGAGAGGAGGTATAGCCACAATCAGAGAGTAAAAATGTATACTCATTTGCCAAAACAGCATTGATTTGCAAATATTTACCAAATATAGAACCCAAAGAATATAAAACTAATTGGTTTAAGAAATAAAATCAAAGTTGAGGAAAAGTAACCCAAACAGAGGTAATTATTGGTTCCCCGAATGCATCAAAGTGATCTTATTATTGTTTTCACAAATGCATCAAAATGAAAGACCACTTGAACATAGGCATCAGAAAGCCATTGATATAGTATATATGTTTAGAGAAGAGTCATATATGGTGTGCATTTGACTATTTGAGGATAATCTTATAATGATGTTACCAAAATAAATAAATATAACTGAATAGTTACCAAGTAAATAATTCACAAGAATTTATGAATGGCATCCACGCTGAGACAACCCAATCAAAATTTGCCTATGATAGGTAAAGAGAGTGGTCTCCCAAGCTCAGTGATTTCCTCCTCAAAGGAGATTAAGCGCAAGTTTCTTTGGAAAAGAATATTGTTTCTTATGTTGAGATGGAATGGAGTTTAAATTAAAAAATAAAGAAAATTGAGTAAATGAAGAGTGTTTCCATCCATAATCCGATGATTCACTCATCATTTTAGCAAAAGAATGATGAATGTGAACACCAAGAGGAGCAATATTTGAAGAATTGATGTTAAGAGGAGCATCAGAACTAACAGAAACCATTGACACAGGAGACAGGCTAACAAGGAGGAACCACCATGCTCCTAGGAACATCCAAAGAGTGAGGCAACTGCGAAAGAATTGAGACTAACGAGAGGAAGAGCAACCAAATAGAGGCGAGGATAAGAGTGGCACGAATTTATAACTGGGGAAGAATGTCACTCATAGAGGAGAGGAGCTGTCGGTGAGGTAGAAAGAGCGCATGGTTGAAACCCTAGGCAAACAAATAATAGCCATTAGGCTCTGCATACACATGTAATAGTTGGCTGGATCGACTCAGCCGAACCAGCCCAACTGATTTGATCAAAGGGGCTGGCGAGCAGGCGGTCGAGCAAACTACAATGAAGCAGGCGCGTAGGCGAGCAGATCAAGCAGATGGAACACAACTTTTGGGTTGGAATCAAACGTGACTCCTCATGCGAACAAGGTCGAATTTGCTCGGTTAGGAAGAGTCGAAAATAGAGGAGAGGAAGAGAGAAGTTCTTGAGCTAGTAGCATGCGGTTTTCCCTGTTCGACGCAAAGGGAGGAAAGTGTTCAATGAGGTAGAGCTACGTGTATTTCCGTGCGTTCACTGGAAGACGGGGAAGAGAAGTTTGTGTGATCTAAGAGGAAGTCAAAGGCAGAGGAAAGGGGGGTACACGTGCATAGATTTTGCTCCCATTCGACGAAGTTAGAGACAGAGGAAAAAGAGGAAGTTGAACAATAACGACAAGTTTGTGGCTTCGATCGAAGAAAGTAGTGAGAGCCTGAGAGGTGAATCATAGGAAGATTTTGATGTTTCTGCAAGCAATAGGAGGGGGAAGACAAATTGAAAGACCTGTTCGAAGACAAAGAGGAGCATATATAGTGTAAATAGGAAATTGTATAGGGAAGAAAAGAATATGTGTTGATCTATGAGAAGAAAATTATGATTCAAATATGTTAATTTAACTTATACAATTGTATGTACGGAGAAGAGGAAGAATATGTATTGATCTATGAGAACTCGACTCAATAAGGAAGACTGAAGGATAGCAATACAATTTAATTTAATCATTTCAATTCTTTTATATGTTGGTTAAAACTGCAAATGTTAGTTTAGGCGGTGATAAAATTGAGCAGTTTAGTCGAGGTAAAATATTGAGGCAAATCAATGTTTTCTCAAAATTAAAGTAAGAGTTAAATTAATATCATTAATTTAATTAAAAAATTTAATGTAGAAAGAGTAAAATTTTTAATGTAGAAAGAGTTCAATTAGCTATGTAAATTGGTGTAATAATTAGGTTGTGCATTGAGGACAACTAAGAACTTAAGAAAATATTGAAGTGAGAAGTTCAATTTTACAAAAGGAAGTAAGGTAGGTGAGGGTGATTATATTTTCTATTTTATAGCAATTACAACTCTATTATTGATACATTGCATTAATTGATATGAAGCAGTTTCACAACTTTATTTTTAAGGTAGCTTTTTTAAAGTAAATTATGGAAAAGCAATGTAGCAATTTTTATCCAAACAAGGTGCCCATAGTTTTCTACAGTAAAAAATAATAATAATAATAATAACTAAATAAGGCCTGAAATAACTCATAGTTCCAAGAAAGTCATTTCTGGCTTTCATAATGCTGTGATTTTTCTTAAAACAGTTGACACTCCCTGTTAAATGCATAAAGCTAATTATGATATCCTAAACCGTATAATCAGACAACAAGACACATTATCAAATATAATCTAAGTCTAAAACTCAAAACTAAAGATTTATTTATTTTTTCCATCTTAAAGCACTAGCATGTTATACCAATAATATATTTGAAGTAAATTCCATTAAGTGCCCCAAGATGTGGAGAAATTATTCTTGGCGATCACCGAACGCATCACATCATTTTTTTTCTATGTACCGCGCGTCCTGATTTGCCTCTGAACAGTTCGGTGACCGCACAGAATAATTTCTCCGAAATGTGTGTCCACTTTATATTGGTCCCTTCCTCATTGATCGAATTAACCTATCAAATGAGCCCTTCTATAAAATTTCATCATTAAGAGATGAAAATTAACGAGTTGACCACATATAAGGTATGATGAGGCTTTCTCCAACCTATGCTTCCTATCCAAAACATATTTGTGGATTCGGAGGTCAATATCTCTCTCTTTATCACTTTCTTCCGTTGTATCAATAATTTTATGATAGTATATTTGACAATCAATTGTTTGTTTAATCATCCCATAGTATTCATAATTATATTTAATACAACAAGGAGTGATGTAATTTCTAAAAGTTCCAACATTATTATGCTACACTTGTTAACCCATAAGATCCTGACAGAACTTCAAGATATTACATTCACCCTTTCTTATAAAATTTTGTTCTTGAAATTTCTATTATTAAACTCATAACTTAAAACTATTATGTTAGACCAATCCAACTGGTCCATATAGGACTGGCTCACGCAAACAGAGGCTAAAGAGTTCCGCCTCTCCTATACGCGCCGACCAAACCACCCAATCCAACGGAGCTGTTTAGGAAGGAATTTTGAAGGACTTAGGAGGAAAATTTGAATGTAGGGACTGTTTAGAGATTTTCTTTTGGATTGTATGCATTAAATAGTTTGTTTTCCTAGAGTTAGAGCATCTTGAATTTGGCTTAAATTTGATATCTCTTAGGTTTTTGGACTCTAGCAACGTCTAGAGTTTTGGGAGATATAGATCCTCCCTCGAATAGAGGATCAATTGTATCTTTGTATTTTCTAATTCCCTTTCATCAAATAATATAAATTATCTACTTTGTGGAGAATTTTTGTTGTTTTCCAAAGATTGATAGGAATTACTTGAGATCTACAAGTGTTTTTTGTCAAATTAATATCAGAGTAATTTCCTAGGCTGAAATAGAAGTCTTCCTCGCTGGCTGTACAGCTACGTTCCGTATCTGATCTTGTTGTTTTTGCTGATTGGAGGCCAAATTTTGCATCAAACTTGTTGCTCTTCAGTATTGGAGCCTAAATCCAGGTTACCATGGCAGGACGAAAAGTATAAGTGTTGGAAGGGGAGATCGGACAATTAAAAGCTGAAATTTCATATCTCCACACTCAACTTTCAGATGTCAAAAAGCAAATTTCAACCATCCACGAGAAGATGGATATAAATTTTTCTAGCATGGGAGATGTTGAAGAAGTTGCTCGATAGCCAATCCAAAACAGCATCATAAGAGGCAAGGGAAACCTCCAACAACCCAGGAAGTGGGGAAAATTATAATCCAATAAGGCAAAGGGAAGATCAAGAGATGGACTCGAAAGAGATAAGAGAGAATACCTCCCCTAGAGCCTATTCCTAGGGAAGAGTCGAGTAGAGGGTATGTGGAGAGGCAAGAGGGGGTTGGGCATGAGTGGAGCGGTGTTGAATTTGAAAGAGGAGAGCCTGAATTTGAAAGGCGAGGACTTGATTATGATCGAAGAGTGTCGAATTTAAAAGGAGAGGGGCTGAATATGATAAAATGTGCGCTGAATTTGAAGGGAGGTGGGCTTGTGATGAAAGGTTTTGGTGCGAGCGAAGGAGGGATGATTGACACAATTGGGGGGAACCACCCTTTGGGGAATGTGAAATTTTGGAGGAAGCGGGGTTGATGGAGAAGATCTGAGAATGAGGAAACTGAAGATGCCTACTTTTTAGGAAGAGGATGCATATGGATTAGGTTCCTTGCTTCAATTGTTCATGGTAGAAATACTAAGGGCTACGTTCATTCGAACAAGTATTTGAAAGTGGTTGGATCTGAGTACTTAAAGAGACTTTTATTGATGTGGGTTTTAACAATATTTATTTTGCATTCACTTCTAGCAAACATAGCTCTCGAGTTTGTTTAGACTGAAGCAAGTTTCATTTTTACTTATCCTCCCATTGAACTTAACATTATATGAGGAAAAGTAAAATTGCAAACAATCAACTCATTAACTTTATGTAATTTTTTAGTTATTACTTACAAAAAACAAAACTAAACGTAACTTCAAAACCCTCATAAAACTGATAAAGGTGAGTTTCAAATATAGGAACTTAATATCATCCACTTGCTGCAAAACAAACACTTGAACTCGTTCTGGAACTGAGATTTTCAATAACTTGCATCAACACAAACCAAGCTCTACATATAATGGCAAACCATCTTAAAAGTTCTTATCAAGAATCCTTGCATGATATGCCTTTATAAGAAACTTCAAAAAACGACCTAAATATTGAAAGCATAAAACAAAAAGCTAGCCTCATTGCTCACGTTTAAACAGTTCTATACATGCAATTAGATTAGCAATACTTCTACAGGCCGCAGCTTACAAAAAGCAAAAAGTATGGAAGAAGGTCTTCTCCATTATAATTTAACCATCAATGTTCATGTATATTATTTCTTTAAACAAAATGTCATAAGCCCCTTGCGTATTTAGTGGATCATAACCCGAAATCATGTACGTTTTTGCTTGACACAATGTAGATTTTCCACTTTTTTTTCTTTAGATTTTGCTATTATTCAAGTAAATATTTCTATCACTGACCTATCAAAAGAATAATAACTAAATCTTTCTATCACTGACCTATCAGAAGAATGATAACTGTTTGGATAGACATGAACTTAGATCAGATTTATATCAAAATATCAAAGTCTGTTATATTCTATAAAAATTTTGAATATGCCAGATGGTCCACAACAAAAACTTTGAGAAGGATGAAACAGTTACATACCAGTTTTGGCATCAAGGAAGCTACTGCACTGACAGCAAAAGATGATAAAGCGCCTAAGCCAACTAAAGTATTCATGTTTGGTGACCCTTTGCATAGACTTTTCAATCCATCAAGAATAAGCCTTCGCCCTGGTCCAGCAAAAGTAAACAGTGACAGCGACAAATGAAATGGTGTGGAATGAAATGCATGGACCCATGAAGGTGCATTTGATCCAAGAAAATGAGAGGCATGTCCCAAAAAGCATACAGCACATAAGGCCCATGAAACTGCAAGATCTTGACCTAAAGAAAAGAAATAACTTTTGAGGACCTTTAATAGTTTACAAACTGTACAAACATACATAAATAGACAATTTTTGTAAATAAAGACCAAATAGAACTTATTGATTAGTAACAAAAATACAGTTAGCATGCTGTGTCAACCACCAAATAAAAGTACCCTAATAAAGTTAATGCGTGTTGCATATCCAAATACATACCACTTTGTTTCAAAAGCTGAAGTTTTTCATCCATCTTCCTCTCAAAAACTTTATACCAACTTTCTCTTGCAGAATCTACACAGAGAACCAGCCTTCACCACGCATGCATAATAAAATAGAGAAGTAATGTAACAAATACTATGTAATAATAGATTGAAAATTTAGAAGACCAAGACTTTATAATATTCATTAGCCTTATCACAAATAATTGGGGGTAAGCTTTGAAAAACCTTCTTTTCCATTCATATCTACTAAGTGTTAAATGTGGTGTTCACTCTAGTATACCAAAAAAATTTTATATAACTTTTAGCTTAATTTCATCTCACTCTAATCATACTTGTGCATCTTATACAACCTGATATGCATGCAAATACCTGCTAAGTTTAATTATTTAACACATTATCTTCAGTAGACACCATTCTCAAGTCCTAACATCCCTAATATAGTATCCCCCATTGTTGTTGATGATGCATACCAGACCATGGCAGAAATGCTCCCTAGAACCATAGCACCTAACTCGATGCGCACCAATTGAAAGAGGTGATAAATTAATATAAATTTTAAGATATAAAAATTAAACACTATTACATAGTGTTAAAATATAACCAAAAATATAATATAGCAGAACTGAAATAAAATAATACTCATTATATGAGAAAAAAAAAAGATAAAAGACATAAAATTAACTAAAAAGTTTGAAAAACTAGAACATGTGAGATGTAATTCATTTAAAGTAGAGAAATAAAAGTCAAATCCATAAAAGCATAAACCAAACTAATAATTCTCATCATCACTAACAAAACTAGTCCCCATCGCCATCTTGATGTAGAACAGGCCACCAATCAAGCTAAGCCACCTCACAAAAGCCTAATTAGCCATAGGCCAATTACAAAGAATTAAATCAAGCCATAGTAGAACTAAATTGAACCCACTTTATGCCAAATTTCTTTTAATTTTAATTTGATTTATTTTATTAGATTCAGTTGTCTTCTTTTGAATAATGGATGTTTTGAATTGGAATGTTTGTTAGTATTGCATATGATTAGATTTACTTTCAAATTATTGGTCTAACCTTGTAACCCTAATTCCATCAATTAGAGACCCACCATTTCAAATTTATTATAGTTAATTGAGAAATGAATGAAATTTGATTATTTGTAAAACTACTCTAGTGCTCTTAAGATACAATTTGTGCATATTAAGTTTCTCCTAGCCCTCACCATCAATTTTGACATGAAGTTCCTAAATTCTGCTTTTTGAAAATCCCAAATTGTTTTCTTTGCTAACTTGATTCCTCACATTCTTATAATTCACCCGCAAACCCTATCACCACCCCACAGCATATATGTGCACTCCGCATGCTAGCAAAACTTATTGCACTACTCGCAAGTCGTGACCGACAACCCCCATGCCAGCAACGCCTTGTAATTAGCTACACCCGCAATCTAAAGCTTGCAACCTCGCGCTTACAGCACCATGCTTACTACTAGCTACAGCCTACTCCGCATTTGCACACTACATCAACCTCAACTCATCTATTCTAAACAGCCAGGTGTTCTTCCATTGTACATTGCAATTTCCCAGCGCATCTAGCCTGACAGACTCCATTATAGTGACTCTGTCCTTCGCCACACAATCTCACTCCAATCAACATCATTAACTACTAAAATCCCTATTACTGGTATTTACCATACATGCTGAAGTGAGCGACCTCCTGCACTCATGCCCAACTACTTCAGCCACTTGTCACTAACTATCAACCTTGACGGCCATAAGGAGATCTTTTACCTATAAGGATATCACAACTCCTGGCATTTAACACTTCTAAGATAAGGCATAAACTCCGCTAATATTAGAATACTTGCATATTTGTAACAAATCGTGTAAGTCAACAATATAATGATTAGTTAATCTCCATAAAATATCCAAGTCATAGTCATACAATTACATCGCTAGGTGAGATTTACATGTGAGTAAACTTAGTACTCCATTAAGATTATTCTATTTAATGCCAAATCATCTAGAATTGAGTTAATTTATGCATACTCATTGAAATTCATTTTATAGTGGAAGGAAATTAATTATTTAATAGTAATATTTGCTAATTTGCTTCTGATAAAATCATTTAGATATCATATTATGTTGTTGCATCATTATTGTTTGCAATCATGACACTCACTTCAAAATAAATCAGATGATTTTGAAGATCTTGTCTAAATGATCAATTTAAAGAGTAGATTGCCCATTGCCCATAGCCAATCGGTGATGATGAAAAGAGTAGCATCTTTAGAAAATAAACTTAGACAAAGCACCCATAAACTAGAGAATAGTATGATCACCTTAAAAAATGATATAAACTTATTTCCACAAATAGCGGCAAAAAAAGAATTGACTAGTAAACCAGCAACGATGCAACAAAACATCAATCATCCAAATAACGCAAGGTTTGCTTTGAGAATTCTTGATAAGTTATTTGAGGATTTTGACCAACAATAATTTTTATTTTAAACAAATGTGCTGAAAATACTAATTAAAATTTAGAATCATACTCAAAAGTCTCTTTCATTGTGAGTTTAATATTTAATGCCTCAATTATGCATTTTAATTAGTTATGGAGCACATCGACATATTATTGTGTCATTAATGATTTTTATTCAAATAAAAATAAACTCAAATTGCTTCAAAGACAATTTATTTTGACTTGAGATCGCTTAACTTGCTGAATCACTTCATGTCCTTCAGAACTTTTTTTTTTTTTTTGTACATGAGCTCCAAAAACACAGTCATTGCCAAATCCCAAGTTCTAGATGAGAAAAGTGGATCGATGTGTTAGGTAGTCAATAACTAGTATAAAATTATCGAATAATCATGAAATGAATCCTTTAATACTCTGTGTTAATACTAGAGTGTTCCCTGAAACGATGCATTGTACAATCTGAATACAACGAGAAGTGTGTGAAGGTCGTTGCAACGGTGCTCGGGTGCAATGTTAAACAAGCAAGGATTCTCACATCAGGGATGGATGTGGTCAAGAAGCTTAGTTCATGAAATTAGAATTAAAATAGGAACTTAGAATATAAGTTCACTTACATGCAAATTAATATAATTGATTCATATGAAGATAAATATTCTATGCATTCAGGAAACTAAATGGGTTGGAGAGAAAACTAAGGAGATTGATAGTATAGGATTAAACTATTGTATTTAGATATGAGTCATATTAGAAATGATGTATGAGTGATTATATATAAAAGTTTAAAAGATGATTTTGTTGAAATTAACAGAATTGGAGATATAATTATAATTTTAAAAATTGTTGTTGTTGCTAAGATTATTAATATTATAAGTACTCATGCTTATGAAGAAGGTTTGAATATGTGTTCAAAATTAAAATTTTGAAATAACTTAGAAAAATTAATACAAAAGATTTAAATGGACATATTAGTAGAGATGTAGAAGATTTTAAAAGCATTCATGGTGGCTATGGGTTTAAAGCGATTAATGAAGATGATAAGACCATATTAGATTTTACTCGAGCTTATGATTTTGTAATTATTGATACCATATTTAAGAAAAGAGAAAAATATCTCATCACTTATAAAAATGAAAATAATAAAACTCAGATTTATTATTTTCTTCTAAGAAAAATAGAACATTTATATTAAAAATATTGTAAAGTTGTTATGAGTGAATGTTTATGTACCCAACAATGCTTATTAATTTTGAATTTTAATGTGAAGGGACGAAATATGAAAAATAAAATAAAATGATGTTCTAAGATTAGATTGAGTCATTTAAATAACACTAACAAAAATATTTTTTTGAGTATTATTCAAGATCTTATAATATTAATATATTATGTAAGAAAAAATAGCTAGATATATTAAGAATAATGCAAAGGATGTGTTAGGAGTATCAAAAAGAAAATCTCCTAATAATAAACATAGTTGTGATGGAATTAAAATGTGTAAAAAAAGATTAACAAATAAGAAGTTTTATTATAAAAATTGATTTAGATATAAAAGCTCGAAAAATTAAGATATAAAGAGGTCCATAAGGAGTCTAAAAAATCAATATGCAATGTAAAAAATTTAGCTTTTAATTATTTATATAATAGATTAGATGTTAAACGGGCGAATATATATATATATATATATATATATATAATTACTTTAGAATTCATATTGAATAAATGAATTGACAAATTTATTACAGGAGGTGGCGGATAGTAACCGCGGGTACAGAAATGAGATAACACATACCACAAGCATTCCTAGGAGTTATTGACTGTAGCAGCTACACAGAGATGGAGTAAACAACCAACAACAGGACACAAAAAATTAGCGAATGAATGTATGATTCTTCCAAACATGATTTTGCGACTTACACCATACCTGATACTAACGGAAGCTATGTTGTGGCATCTACGTGTTTAAAGCAACTAGAAAAATAACTAGCAACCATTCGTAATTAAATGAAGTTATTGACTGTGGCGGCTACAGATGGATGGAATAACCAACTTTCATTCACACGAGAGAAATCCACAATCAATGAATTTATTCATTTCATTACCTCGAATATTTGACTTAAATCCACAGGTTGTCAATTGGGATGCAAGTTTCATGCCCAATTGCTTTTGCCAGTTATGCTTGACCTCACCTTCAGGGACGGCCCACACAACTGCTGTCTCGGTAGCAAGGTTAACCGCAGCTGACGATACCTGAGGCTGAGAACACAGACATTGGTCAACATGCTACCATTCATCAAAATCACTGATCCCTTACCTTTTAACTAAACCACTAAGCACGGTTACCAGTTTCAACTTTCGACGTATGTTTGATTCCAGTGGTCAAAATATTATACCAAAAAAAGATGAAGTAGAAGTAAAAAAAGCTGTAGTTCATAACAGATAAAAAATGCCGAAATCTTACTTGACTTTCTAAAATGCGCTTAACACTGGCAGCGCATCCACCACAAGACATTCCCTACAACAAAACCATACGAATGACCTCCAAAGATTTAAAAGTATCAAATCGTTCGTGGAAAACGAAGGCAGGAAAACCCTTACTCCAACGTCTAGAAGAATAACATCAGGCCCTGCCGACGAGCCTTCCTCGGCCTCCACAGCAAGGGATAGCACCCGACCCTCTCCACTGCCAGATCCGCCGCCGCCTCCACCCAGCCCGCGGCCACTCTCTCCACCACCGCCTCCACCGCTGGCGGCGGTGGAAAAAGATAACGAAGAGAGGCGAGCTAGTCCACCGGATTCCTGAGCGAGAGAAGGGGCATTCCGCAGTACGTTTCCTACGTAGGAAAACAACATCAGTTCCCTGTATCTTCGGTGATCGATGTTGCTCCCGAATGGCCTGGATGGGCCGGCGGACATGCTCCGGCATTGCGGGAGAGGGTGCTGGGGGAGACGCCGGCTAAAGTAGGGCTTCGTGTTGAATTTTACGATCCTAGAGAACGTGAAGACGGGGATGGTGGCAACAGCCGGTACCTCCATCGATTTTCCTTTTGGCTGGACTTCGCGCTTGGCCTTGCTCTGAAATTTTTTGAAGTCTGCGTAAACGGGTGTTTGGCGTCCTGCCTTAATTTTTCTTTAGGACTAGCAAAATGATACACTGCCATTACGTAAAGGAACACTTTTGGTTAGATTCAAAGCTCCTATTAACTTCCTGTTTGACAAAGGAGTCTTTATTTTAGTAGTTATCAACGCATGCTTCTTCTGCCAAGGTGCAGCCAGTCAAAGATGCTGCACCTAGAAAAAATAATCCGTAATCGCATATGGAAATTTTTTTTTTAAATGTGGAACGTTGGTCATTAAATAATAAAAAATACTACTTGAATTCTTAATACAAAGGAAATAACATCCTCTAATCTCTAACCCATCCAGGTAACCGGTCCTTTTACAATGCAAGCGTTATCCTCCAATTATCTTTTTATTATCACTATCTTTTTTTCTAATTTTTAATTCTTTTTTAATAACATCTATTATCTTTGTTTTCCTCTATTATCGAGCACTTTTTTTTTCTCCATTTAGATTTATTGAGTTCTTAACTAGTATCATGACTCCTGGTGTGAAGAGCACAAGGCCAAGCTAAGGCCTAAGATCATTAGACAACTTCAAATTGAATAAAAAGAACATATTTTTTCTTTGAACTCATATTTGAAAGACAATTTTTCTTCAAAAGACAACTTCAAATTGAATAAAAAGACATACCAGCCAAACTTCAAATATTTTTTCTTGAAAATGTTTGTGAGTATAATAATTGTTTTTACTTCGAACTTAACATAAATTTTCTTACCGTCCACATTTTAACAAATCAGATTATAAAAACAAATTTAGCATCAAAGAAATATTTAAAAAATGATAATAAAGTTATAAAGAAATAAAGCTGAGACCATTCTTTTGAAAAATGCAAAAACTACCTCAAACGGACCTTTAACCATGCCATCACTAGCTTTACAAAGCATTACCATGATTCTAGCTCATTTAGATCTCAGCGATCTAAACTGAGACACGTGATCCCACAGAAAATGAAGAGGTGATTGATAGGAAGTACTTGAGTTCACAAGTAATCCTATCAAATCTACTTGAGTTCGCAAGCAACCCTAATACGAAATTGGTAAAAACAACGAAAATATCCAAGATCGGAGATGAAACAACCAAGAAAATAATAGAACTTGATTAAATACTCAAAGCACAATAAGCTAGAAGAAAAGATACAATTGATCCTCTATTCGAGAGGAGGATTGTCTCTCCCAAATCTCTAGACAAGAGTCTAGGCCCAATACGCCAAAAAGACTACAATAAGCAATAACTGAAGCGTGTCTAGCCCTAACCCCTTCATGCCCTTTAAATAACCCTCCACCTCCTTAAAAACTTTCTAATATATAAGATAACATTTAATTAATTCAAAAGATATCAAATTTTTTTAATTAAGTAAATTCACTTTCCTAATATAAGATAATATTTAATTAATTCAAAAGATATCAAATTTTTTTAATTAATTAAATTTACTTTCCTAATATAAGATATTAATTAAATTCAAATAAATTGAACGTGGGCCCCTCCCTTAGGCGGTGTAAGAAGGATGCGGTTTGACCCGCCTACTGTATACAAGTGCCGGGGAACGACATATCAGTGATACATTTACAAAAGCAAGCATTAATGCATCACAGATGAAAATCAATATAAATCTCTCTGATAAATTGTGCAGATAAGAAAGTTTTGGGAGCTCTGCAATAGACGAAAAAAAAAATCAACAAATTGAATAGATTTTTTGTAGCAAGCTTCTTAGATCCGGACAAGTTTTCACTGGAGCGTGTTGAAGAGATGATATGCTTGTGGGGGTGCTTCCTGGCAACCTGCAGTAAGGGACAAAGATTAGCAAATAGACCAACTAAATTAATTCATAAGCAACGTGAAAAAAATATATATGAATGCTTTAGGACCCATTTCAATCAATTTTTTTGCGTTAAGCATGCACAATCATGTGTCAGGGCATTATGATTTCATTAAATGTTTTCACTTGCCTTCAGAAAAGATAGAAGAGAATACAAAAGTGCATCAATGTAGATTTGCCTTTCACCCAAAGGCATAAGGATCATCTGTGTAAGGATTCAAAGAGCCTTCAGCAAACAAATCACGTATATTGTCAGGATGGGATTGAGGTCCACTTGTGATCTGCATAAAAACGATACTTAAGCGGGAGATATGAGTTTCTTGCATAAAATAACAAAGCAAGCAATGTCATTGACGCATGTATAGTTCATATTGACACAACGTAAGGACGTGAGTAAATTGAAGAGGTTAATATCAAAGTTTCTTTTACCAGTAACTTCAATTTACTCTGAAAGCAAATCATTAACAAAGCAACATAAAGAATAATGAAATAAAGCTACTTCAGATCCTTTCATGGTCCAGAACCATATCCTCTGAGACTATAAAGAGCATAGAACATTTGCTTGCGAAGTATGCATGCAAATTAAATGCAATTTTCTATTCCCCAAAGCTACGTAAGTGTTTCTGTGTGAAATATTGGCAAGAAATACATTTAAGGCTCTAAACCAATGTCAACATGCAAAATATATGAAGGCCTTGCATTTCCTAACAAACCTACTTACCATGCTGAACTTCAAAAATGCCTCAACAGATCAAATCAATCAAAGAAATGAGTTGTGGGCTCCGAAAATTTGAGCTTTTGAGCCCCGGCCTCTCCGCATTATATTCGGGGAGAGTTTTATGGATGAAGTTCAGAGGGGAATTTTCGGAAGACAGATTAGATAGAGATAAGACACTACCCAGAAATTTTGCCCTCTTAGCGAGGACTTTAAGATCTAAGTTTTGGATTTCTATAGGCACAAGCCCCTATAGTTAATTACCACTCTCAATAACAGAAAGAACTTTCGATTAAGACTAGTCGTTGAACAAATACGTAGTATCAAACGTATAGTGTCGTAAGGCTTGAGTGTTGGAGCAGCTGAGAGAGTGAGTGGAGTATTCCGCTGAGTAGGAGCAGCGGCTGTAGTCATTGAATAGGGAGGGTGGTTTGCGTAAAATAGAGAGGGAGCTCGGAGGCTTTGCTAGACGAAAGCTGCAACTGCTCGGGCATGTGAGGAGTTCGAGTATGGTTAGTGGAGAGGAAGGGTCGTATGGTTTGGGGGGTTTCTCACGGAAGCAGGTCAGAACAAGAGTGAGGGAGTCAGGCTGGGGGGTCAAAACGTGAGGGAGGTCGGGGGCTGAGATGTGAAGGAGTTGGGGTTGGTTGCGAATGGAAGAGAAGGGAAATGTTGGAAGAGGAGTTTGTGAGTGGGAAATAGCCAACCTGGGATTTTTTATCTTAGGTATTATTATGCAATATTTGTTTATTACCCACTGGGCGGCTGGCAGTGTAGCAAGAGCAGGATTTGGGGGCAGCTTTAGAGATTTGCAAAAGGGAAAAGGAGATATGGGATTGGCTGATATGGCAGGGGTTCTGAGCAGTTGTGGAAGGATTTAAGATGAGGGATTTAGAATATATATATAATCTTTAAAATTTGATTTGATTTTAATTATTTTATTTAATTGAAATTAATAAATTCATAATGTAATGACAATAATAATAAATTAAAATGATATGCTTCAACCCTCATAATTTCTTGTGATTTGTGCACTCGTTTTACATGTTGTCGCCTCGAAATTTGTGTTCATTTCAAGATTTCACTTGAATGGTGACCCGAGCAATATTATTCTTTTCTATATGATTTCGACGTTCCGGACACAACATTGAAGTCCGTTTAGAGAACGGACGATGTTTGGGTAACGTCGCGCAATATCACCCGTGGTCTGTCGATTTTGATTGCCTTCACTCGAATTGTTTGCGATCATTTATTCCTTGGGTAATTTTGATGTTCTAAGCGTAATAGTAAAATCCCGCAGCAGTGAAGTTCTCTTCATAACCTGAATGTCATTTTGGCAGGTTTGTGCACCTTCACCTCAAAATTCATGCCAATTTTTAAATTTTTCACTCATGCAAGGAACCATGTATTACAACCATTTTTAGGTATTTTCAACGTTCTAGGCGCAACAACGGTCGATGTCTGTTTTGTGAATGGATGTCGTTCAGGCAACACACGCAATGTAGCGATTGTAGACCATCTATTTTGACTGTCTTCACTCAATTCAATTATGGGGGGTCCCCTGAGAAAAATTTGATTTTTTGATTGCATCAGCACAATCTATTTGATGATCGGTGGTCATTTGGGTAGTTTAATAATGACTCTTTTTTGACTTGTTCAATGCCCTAAGTGTATCGATGCAATCTATTTCACGATCAAATAAAATTTTGAGCTATTTTAGTAGCAATCAAGATATCTCAATGCTTGTGCTAAGGACATATATGTTATTCTCCTTCCTGAGCCTGCTCAATTGATCGTGGAACATATATAGAGGTTAACATGAGCATGCCAGAATTATACACATCAACTACAATACACAGACATGGATATGACATAACATGGACACGGGACATGTAAATTATTGAAACCATAGGACACACATAGGTTGGACACAATATTATAATTTTTATATTTTAAAAATAATATGTAGAAATTGAAAAAGTAGAATATTAAAAATTATTTTGAAATAATAAGTCATTATACTAGAATATGCATTTAAAATGATAAATATTAAGATTTCGAGGGTCAGAGGTAGATGTTGTATCAAGCATCGAGAGGGGAGAGATAATAATGTCGAGAGTCAGGCATCGATGTTGTGCAATAAGCATCAGGCATCGATGTCAAGATGACGTTAGACAAATATAAGTCGAGAAGACGCGAGGGCGTGATTGTGGGTAGAAACTGTTGGCGTCGTCAATATTAAGATAGAATTAGACTTCAATGTTGAGATGGTTTAGAAACATTGATGTTGTGATGAAGTTGGAGAAATGGCATCATGTATTGTTGTAAACCCTAGTCATAAACTACTAGAAAGAAATTAAAAGGGGACTGTTTGGGGAATGGGAAATTAAGTTCAGGCCATTTCTTTGGAGTTGTGGAGAAAAAAATAAAAAATCCTATTTTAATTTTTTTAATAAAAATTTAAATTACAATAAATTATATTTAAAAAAATTCATAAAATATTTAAGACAAGCGTCAAATTTATTTTAATAATTTTTAATCGGACACATCTTCCGTGTCCAACACATGTCGGAGGTGTGTCGAATGCATGTCGTGTCTGATACATGTCGAACACTGCATACTTTTTTGAGGAGAAATATCGGTGCATCATAGGACATCAATCTCTGTAGCTAGAGTAGTCACAAATCCTCCTCTTAAAACTTAATTTAATTATTCTCAAAAAGGATGGAGAGCTAGAGGCATTTACCATATGAAAAAGGTACATATCTCAAAGAATAGAGAGGCATAAGGAGAAATCTGACTTTACAACTAAACAAATAAAGGCAGTTGATAACTTTTAAAATGGCACCTTCGTCATTTGAGAGACGTTCTTATTTGAATTTGGAGTCCTTCCATGCATTGTCTTATGAGAACTTGGATCCTGAAATTTTCAAAAAAATAAAATAAAAAAATTTAAAATTAAAAAAAATGTTAACCATACAAAAAGACGGTTCTTTTCTTAAATATATGTGGAATTAATACCCTAAACATGACAGTGCTCTTAGTTTTTCGGCGTTTCATAATTGTCTGACCATTTGATGTCTCAACTTCATATTCATGTCGAGTCACCTATCATGCCAATATGAAGCAATTGAAAGAAACTTCTAATTGTCACGGAAAAATTAGAAATACATAGACCCATACAAGACAAAAAGGAAGCTAGTAATCCACATGTGAACTCATCAAAATAAGGATATATAAATCAAGTTACTAAATAGTATAGCAGACAAGTACACAACAGAAACAGAAGTTGCCTACTAATCAAAAAAGGTCTACACAAATAGCTCAAGTAATCCGTAACACTCTTCTGCAGAAAAAAGATATTACCTTTCGGTGTTTAGGCACAGTTTTACCGCAATCTACTTTCTTCAGCAGGTTCGACATGGGTGTTTGCATATATTCAGATAGGTTCATTTCCTAACACGCAAGCAGCAGGCATAGAAGGAAAACAACTAATAAATATCCATATCTAGACATAACAATATCCAGATTATGTACAAAATAGTGGTGTAAGAGACACCTTTCTTTCACTCTCAGGAGTTGGCAAGACAACATCATGTCCTTTCACCCTGTAAGTATTCCTCATTTTGATTGATGAAGCAGAATACTCCTGCAATAGTACACAAGCAAATTTTCAGTTGTCTCAGTTCCACATTTGTCAAGCGAGTTTGAGAATAATTCATAATAAGAATTTACGAAAGCACTTATAAAACACTGAATGAAGGAATTTAGATGCCAACTACAGTGCTACCAGTAAAAAAAAATATAAAACCATAGGAAAAATTCACTCCGATAACTAACTTTTCCTAGATTGTCCTTATGCCTATATTTCATATAGAAGGTTCCTGGTTTTTTGCCCCTTTTTAGTGAATACTCTAGAGGGGCCAAAACTCTTTCTTCTTCTTCTTCTTACTAGGTGGATGCTAAAACATCAAGCAAAGATTAACCATGTTCGATGAAATATATTGGATAAAACCTGTTGAATTAAACGCTAAAGGGCCAAACTCTTTCCAATTATTTTTACTAGGTAGTTACTAGTACATAAATTATATATCAAACATGTTAGATGAAACACGTCGACTTACAGTAACAAGATGCTAGTGGTTTGTAATATCCAAACTTTCAATTAGATGAGATGAAAATATGCTCCTAAAACTTATATCCCATTTTCCACACATCCCGAATATCATCAAAATTATATTTATAAAATTTTACATTTCATTTCAATCATTTTAATATCTATAAGTACATATAAATAAATAAGTATATTAGTATTTTATAACTAATTTCCTGATTAAATAAAATGACCTAAAATATTTAATAAAATTATTCACTGCACTATAGCAAAGTAGCCTTTTTCAGTTTTCCGGTAAAATGCATTGGCTGATTCCAAAACTAACAAGTTAACATAGATTTCAGAACTCAAGCATCCCAAATTAAGTTAAATAATTAATAAATCCTAAACTTAAGCAATCTAATTTATTCAAATCCTATTCTGTCTCCTCTAGCTGATGGCGGAACAGAAGAGATCAGGTAGCTAAAATAAAAAAGAAGAAACGAAAAGGAGAAGAGCAAGCAGAAGAAAAGAAGAAGAGAAGAAGAAAAGAAAAGGAGAAGGAAAGAAGAGGAAAAAAAAGCAAAATAAGGGGAACAAAAGAATTCGAGACTTTATGTAAGAATACTATTTTCGTATTCCCTTCTGCAAATCAAGGTTGATGTCACGTCGTGTTAGGCTCAAAGTTTGAATTAAAAATTCTTTCAGGTTAAAAAATATTATTTGAATTTAATTGATTTAGCTTCAAGCTCTCTTATATTAAATTGAGAAATAATTATTAATAGGTTGTTTACAAAATAACAAGACGAAGAGGTAATAAAAATCAAGATATCCGTCCCATAGATCCTATAGTTCAAGTGGGATACTTAATCTCTAACATATAGAGTAAATTATTCTTATGCATAATATTTGTTTATTTTCTATAATTTAGATGAACAACTATGTGCATAAAAATAGACATTTCTTCATGTTAAGCATGACATGAAGGCATTAAAAAGTCTAATGAATTTTTATAAGATCGCTTACTTAAATAAATTCAAGATATTAACTCGTAAGATTGTCTGATAGAATATAATATGTATTTAAGTTCATAAAAGTCAACTTTTATATATCATATTTACCTTTGAGATGCACGTTAAGCAGATTAATTGATAACAAGTGAATTAAAATATTAAGTAATTTGAATTGTTGATGAGGATATTAAATAAAAAGAAGCCAATGAAAGGGCATAGCATATGAGATAGATTGGAAAATAATGATAACCTACATAGCGAGATGCAAAAAGTTCCAACAAAATGAGCCTAAAAAATGAGAGTTCGCTACTTTCGATGCTAAAAAGTTAATGCTACAAGATTCAATCTTGAGATTAGGGGATCATTGATAATTTTTATGTTGGATTGTCCAAATTTTACCAATGAATTTCTATGTTAGATGACCAATGATAGATATGTCAGAAGTCTACATGCATTATATGATATTTCTAAGGAATTGATGAATATAAATTGAGTAAAAAATATAGGTAAAGAAAGTGATTTCATGCCAAAAATTGACTAGCATACAGCATTACATGGTTTAACATTTTATATATATAATTCACTATTTTACAAATATTCACAATAATTGCTTATAATCAAGTCATTTACCAAAGCAAATTTTAACTAAAAAGTATTGCATTAAGCTAGTTATGATTATGAATACAAACGCTCATATCAATTCATATGATTAGTAATAGCATGACATCTTCTTTTACTATATGTTTAAAGTATGAATTTATAATTAAAGTCATTTAGAAGCTTTGTATTCAATTTAATGATTTTAAAGTAATAGCATGACATGAATGCTTATGCTAGATTTATTAGATGATTATTAAGTGTAATAGAATTTGTAACAATTAAAGTAGACTATTTTTCACTCATCAGATCTAGATCAGTAAATTCAAGCTGGCTGTTTGTGAGAAATATGTCAAACTAGCTTATCAGTTTCTGTCACACAGTGTGCACTGGAGAGGGTCCAAATAGGGTGTGATATGATTCCCAAAAGTAAGATAAGCAAAGTGAAAATCACAACAGTGCTGCTCATTTCACTTCCAATCCCCAGCATATGAACATGACCCATTTGTTCCATCTTTAAATTTGGTCTTCATTTCGAATTTTCCTAGAATTGTGGGTATTTCAAACAAATATAGATTCCATTTAATACTCTTAATTAAATGTTCATATATAGTAGTTGGAAATACCTCTAACTATTTCAAAATAATATACACTGGAATGCTAAAATTTAGCAATGCAGCATAACCTTGTTCCAATGGAAATTTTGTAGCTAACCCTTCATGCTACAAAAAAGCAGTTCTGATATGTGATCTTATTCACGGTTTCCAAGTTATTATGAAGCAAACTTCCCTTATGAAGTGGCCAGAGCATGTGATGCTATAATCATCGTGCAGACTGTATTCTTGATGCAAGGTTTTTAGTAATATTAACTTTACATCTATATTTAAGATATAATTCAAAATATATCAAATATTTATGTCAATAAGTAGCACCACCATGGACATCAAAAAAATACTATAATATACCATTTTAGAATATACATTATTCATTAAAAAAGTATCAATTTTTAGTATTTTGCTGCAATCTGCCAACAGTTCACTAACAGCAGAGCAGATGGTGATTAAACACTTTTTACTCAAACCATGACTTAGATTGGGTAGGCCAAATGATTACTAGGCCTACTGTGCTTCCACAGAGCTAACCTAGCTTTGCCTTGAATATGACTGAGGACTGCAAACGAACCGAGCCGAGGAAGTACTTGTTCATGTTTGAGCTTGTTTATTATCAGCTTGTTGAAGCTTGGTTTATACTTCGTTTGAACTTTTCTATTGGTGTTTAAGGTTGGGTCGTTTAAAATGATAGATGTTCGTATTTGGTACATTTTGAGCTTATCAAACATAAAATAAACGAGCTTTATCGAGCTATTAACGGACATTCATTTATAAATGTTCATTAGCTTAACAAACAAGCCTTATCAAACCTACTAACAAATAATTATCTAGAGTCTGTTCGCGAACATTTCTAATGAGTATTTTAGAGCTACTAAAAAAGAACGTTCAAGAATATATCTAGCAAGTATTTCAAGCCACCAAACGAGCCCAATAACAAACAAACGAGTTCAAAAAATAATTCTTCTTACAAAACAAGTTTTTTCAAAAATATTTTAAACAAACAATTCAACAACCATGAACAAATGACTCTTGGTCATAAAAATTTCATTCTATTGAAAGAGTACAACATAAAAATGAAATTAATTTTTAAAAAACATGAATCATTTATTATAATAAAACTAAAAATTATATGAAAATATATCAAATAAAAATTCATGATAAGACTTATCGATTCTTAACTAACTTATTCACAAGCTCTATATTAAATATTAATAAAGCTTCTGATAAAAATATGATCTCCACACAGCCAAAAAATAGCAAAAACAAAGAGAACACGTCAAAAATCAACGAGAAAGAATAAAATTATGTGCTAATTTGATTGATATTGGCACAACAAACCAAGATACAAGTTAATCTACTATTCGAGAGGCGACTCTCCACAAACCTAGGCGCCACAAGGAAAAACTCTAAGGAAAATTACTGTCAAAACAAAAATCATATAATGAAAATAAAACAACCTAATTAATCATAAATAAACTTTCATAATTTCATCCCAAATATAAATTCAAATCAGCCATCTTTCACTAAATAAATCTTCCTAATTCTCTCCCAAATCTAAATTCAAATCAGTCATCTTTTCCTAAATAACCATTTCAAATTCTCTCCCAATTTAGTTTTCTATGGCTAAGTAATTGAAGGTAGAATTAATCCCTGAGCCCTCCTCTCCCCTTACCTGCCGCCCACACAAGTGCAGCCTACATGGAACTTCTGCCCTTCGGCTATACCGGCCCTACTTGCTGGGGCCAAGTTGTTGGCTGGACCGGCTCAGTTGTGCATCAGCTTCTTAACAAATTTTATATCGAGCTTGTTCACATACTTTAATTGATATTATTCATAAACATAAATGAGCCAAACTCATAATTTTTCAAACTTACTTATTAAACAATCGAGTATTTTAATTTTTTTTAAACTTGTTTGATTACTTAAACAAATGATAATGAACGAACTATAATCGAGTTGATCCACAAGTAGCTTATCAAACGTTTAGTTTCTTTGCAACCCTAGATGGCTCAAAGATATTCTGCTGGCAAATAATTTGGCTTCGGCTGATGTGAGAATAGTTATATTCATTTGAATACCGAGTCAAGTTCTTCAAGATTGATCTATGAGTCAAATAGGACAATTGATTGAAAGCCTGCAGTGAGTGATCCATCAGTGGTCACTTTCAACGTTAACCAATATCCCAAATTCAGCAACAAACAAGCTGACTCTAGGACCACTTAACAATGATCTATTTAAATCCGAGGTAACCAGCTAAAAATAGGTAGTCATAATTGAACAACGTCAAGATGGTTTTACTCAGACCATTTTAGACTACTTTGCAAACTACTAGTGCTTATGTCTTGTAAATAAAGGTAATTGAAATGGCCTTAAAAATGCACCCCGATTAATTATGACCATCCAATCAACCATATCATGATATGTGCCGGAATGCCATCACGCAATAAGTTTCAAATAATAAGTTAGCTCTCCAAACCTTAGGGCAGCTCAATCACAACAGGCACACCATATCAATCTAGGCAGATCCTTGGCAAATACCAAATTGTTAATATAGATCATAAGCAAAAACAATGCTGAAGTCTATGGCAGAAATTCATTTTTTTTATCATCTCACACTTAGTGGGTACAATTGTCTTGCATTTGTTCAAGTCATTAGCATTAATATGTTTAAAGATGTTACAATATCACATGTGATTGATATTTAAAATAGAAATCTATAGTATTAATTATTAAAATATATCTTCATTATTGAGTATAATCTCTCTTATTGTATTTTTCTTATAACTCTCTTCTCCAGCATTTATATAAGCATGCTTGTGCTAGCACATTGTTTAAACAAATAAAGATACAGGCTTCTATGATTTTTAACAAGATATCAGATCCATTGGTGTAAGTCTTTGTTTTAGCCCTCATCTTGATAGTGTTCAGCTTATCTGTCAGCAACTCCTCTCCATCTCGCTTGAAAAATATTCAAGTTTAATCTTGATGGTGATCAATACTTGGTCTTCACCATTTGATAGGCGCCTATATATGATCTCGCTCGACAATCGCTTACAAAGATCATCTCCCTAGTCTCACTCTCTGCTATACTTCTGATCTAGTCATCATCATCCTTGTTTCATCTAATGATCCTGTCTCACATAACCCAAGATCCCGTCATGTGCCGATCTCGTCTCATGTGAGAGTTCTTATCTCCATCTCTATTTCCCATGATAATCCAGTGCTAATTGAGGATCCAAACACCTTATTCTGAGCAATTGGTAATACATCAATCTCTCGATTGTTCTTTGTTTCTCATAGAACATATGGCTTTATCATTGATTGACTCGGAGCGAAAAGTTATTAAACAACTCTGGCCTTAGATCTATTGATTCTCTTACGCTATACAAAATCTCGATACTCCATCTTACTGCATCATGAATTTGTGATGCGTGTTAAAGTTATTATGTTTACTAATATTATCATATCAAGATTATCACATGTAATTAATATCTATTGTAGGAATCTAGAAGATTTATTGTTGTAATATATTCAAATTATTAAGGATGTTTTCCTTTATTGTATTTTTCTTATTGTTCTCTTGTCTTGTCTTTATATAAACATTAGAATGATCAAACAAGTAAAAATGAAACATTTTATGATTTATAATAACACGGCCTTCAAGAATAATGTGGCTCAGCTTCTATCTTGGGATCAATTAGAGAATTAATTTGCTGACAATCAAAGCCCATATCATTCCATAACAAGAGATGGTGCATCCACAAAGACCAGTTGAATATCTCCTAAATAACAGTTAATGTCAAAATTTTCCTTAGCCACAAATATAAATATATAATAGCATGGCATTCAAGAATAGCGTGTTACCTGGGGGTCAATTTAAGGATTAATTTTCCAACGATCAAATGGCATGTCAATCCATAACAAGCGATGCTATAAAGCACAAACAGTAGCTCAAAATCTACTAATAACCCTCGATGTCAAAATAGACCTTGACCACAACTATAGATGTATAAGATTGAGTTAAATTTATTCATTATGTTCAATTCATCCAATTTGAGAGTTCTCAAGACATTAAGAGATCAATTTCAAACTCACAGGAATTTCTCAAGTGTTAGGGAACCTAATGATGCGGACATCAGAACGAAGATTTGGCGCATCTATCACAGGAGGCGTCGTAAATCAACGGCTCTAATTTAAATTGTCATTTATAAGTTATTTTATGAATTTTAGCTCTTATTTTTATTTCATGTTTTACCCCTAGGTTAGTTTATTTGAGTGTTGTGGCCCAAGGGGCAATTTTGTAATTTTTATTTTATCATGTTATGACCTATATATAGGGCCTTAAGCTATTGTAAAAGGAGGAGGAATTATTGATATGAAAATTTGTTTTCCACACTTGTGTTCTTCTTGGGAGAGAGCGTTAGTGAGATTCCTATGAGAGGAATCGAAGTCTTCACCAGCTGTAGGATGGGTCCGGGCTCGTGAATTGAAGTCCCTTGGAGAAGGGCAAAGCATCACCCGTCAGTCGTCGGAAGAGTCCGTGATGCAGGACTACTTAGGTGACATGCTTATGGCTTCATTTTAGGCATTGCACAACTCTTTGATTATAATAATTTTGGATTAAAATTATTAGCAATTCGTAACGTCGACTAAAACAAGTAAAGTGATGCTTTGCGTAGGCTAAATCACATGCTCCAAGCTTTGAAATTTTCAAGATAAATAAGACAATTGAAACAATGCAAAATAGTAGTCTTCAATTTAATCCCTAGTCTAACAACGAGATTTAGGATGCAAAGAAAGTACACTCAATAACCTACGAATTACTAGGCTTAGCAAGAGCACGTGGAGAAGACTTTCGTGATTATAATCTAACCAATTGAGAACTTAGATTTAGAAGAATTTGAATGCAAGTGAAAAGGAGAACCTTTGCGTAAGGAGACGAGGTGATCCTCCACTCGATGCTTTCAAAATGCTCGTCAATGGCTTCCTTCATTCATATGGACGAATGATTGAAAACTCTCCATGGTAGCGAGTGCTCTTGAAGGTTATCCAAAGGTGAAGAGACAAGAAGTTCTAGTCAAAGTCTGTAGCAACAAACTCAAATTTCCTTTCCAAAAATCTGAGAGATGTCTCAGGGTCTTATGCTTAGGAAATAGAAATAAGAGAGGGAGAAAATTGCCAAGGGTTTTGGTGGGGAATCGAGAGGGAAGGAGAATCTGGCAGGGAGAGAGGGGGACGGGTCTGAGAGGGGAGAAGGATGAGGGGGGGCAGCAATGCAGAGGGAAATTGGGAGGTTTTAATTGAGTTTCCAAAAGTGGAATTACCACTTTGGCAATAAATTAATTCAAACAGGAGGATGGGAATTCGGCCAAAAGGAAATTGAGGTTTTTTTTTTATTTATTTCCCAAGTATGGCATCAGGAGTTAGGAAATAATTGGGGATGGCGTTAATGGGTGAGAGCATGGGGGGCCGGTGGTCATGCATGAATGAAAGGGTTAATTAATGGAGGTAATTAGATATTCCTAATTCAGGTTTTTTTTTTATTTAGGAAGGAAGTAATTTAAATCCTTTTGAATTTAAAATTCAAAATAGGTTTAAATCAAATACTTTCCTAAAATAGAATAACTAATTTAGGAGATATTTTGAATTCAAATTTGATTGAATTTGAATTTCAAATTATTTCCAATTAGTCTCAACCCAATTAGGAAACAAAATAAGAGGAGCAAAGGGGTGGGAGCCGGCGGTTAAAGCTAGAGCCGCCGATCAAGTGGAATCGGGTAGAGGTGGCCGGCGGTTATGGTTGAGGATTTTGTGGAGCTTGATGTGGGGGTAAGAAAGATGGAGAGTTGGATGGAGTTGGGTGTGATGAAGATGAAGGAGGGGATGGGATGAAGGAAGACAAAATACAAAGAGAAAACTACGAACCCGGCCGTATCCAAGGTTGGTGGGTAATGCGTCAATCTCCCTCTCCACGGGATCTCTCCAACGTTCTCTCCAAGAACTCTCAAACGCTCTCAAGCACGAGTGTAGAAAAATTTCATAATAATCATTCATTAACTCAAAACAAAGGAAATGAGGCTATAAATAGCCGGGTACAAAGACTCAAGAAAATAAAAGACCAACTTGCCCTTTGGGCTTACATGCGACCCCTCCCATGAAAGGGGTACAAAGGGAAAAAATAATGACACCTAAGCAAATAAGAAAATACAATCATGACTCAGAAATACAAGGACTCGATCGTGGCCGTAGATCGGCGGCCACATCTCTGATAAACCTTCCACGCTGATCTGATGTCCCCATCAGTCCGAGGCTCGCGGGT